TCCCCACAGTCCTGTGGCCCACTTATAAAGTAATGACTCAGAAGCTTATATTAATTATAACTGCTGTGTGGCCATTATCTCAGGCTTATTAATGACTAGCTCTTACACTTAAATTAACTCATAATTCTTATTTATGTTTAGCCACGTGGCTTGGTACCTCTTCTCAGTTCTGCCTTGTCATCTTGCTTCCTCTGTGTCTGGCTGGTGACTCCTGACTCTGCTCTTCCTCTTCCCAGCATTCCTTTAGTCTGCTCGCCCTGCCTATACTGCCTGCCTGGGTACTGGCCAATCAGCGTTTTATTTATCAACCAATCAGAGCAACACACATTTACAGCATACAGAATTACATTCCACAGCACTTCCCTTTTTTTGTCTAATCAAAAAGGAAGGTTTGAACTTTAACATAGTAAAATTACATATAGCAAAACAGTTATCAAGCAAGAATTATAGCTATAATATCTAGTCTATTTGTATTTGGCAAAATTAAAGAAGATATCCTATCTATAAGAAGATATCCTATCTATCCTATATTTGTGAGTCTAAGGTTTCATATCTACCTTATCTATTATCATAACCAAGGGAAACAATAATTATAACTATCTAGTCTTCAACTACATCGAAGACCCCAGAAGGATATAATATTACCTAAGTAAACAGGAAAAGCATTGTAAGCAACTTCCAAAAATCCAGAATGACAGAGACAGCTGGATACCTGGACAGTTAACCCAAAGTTCTTCTGTAATGTTGGGACATCGATCTTTAGCCCATAGGCCTAAAGTCTCTCAGTCACTTTTCTCTGTGTCCTATAGAATGTCTGGTAGTTTCTTCTGTGAAGCAGGGACCTGAAGGACCATTTTGCCTTGCAAAGTTCATCTTCCTATGGGTCCTACATGTCTAGTCGATACATTTTGTCAAGCAGTCTAGGCAAGAACAGTTTCTTGCCCAAATGACTAATTTTGTCAAGAAGAAGATAAACTCCATATGGAGTGTCTTCAGTGCCCATCATCTTCCTTGAAGTAATTGGTGCTTCCAGGAGCAGATGTGTGACATTGTCCAGAAAAGTCTAAGTTTTAAAACATTTTAAATACCATATTCTGTGGGTCTTTGAAGTGTTTGAAGATTATCTACCTAATTGAATTATATCTATGTACACCTAGAAAACTTAACATGACTATAAGTTTGACTATCATAGAAGACCAATTATTAATCTGTATTTTTTAATTATTCATTACAATTTAAATGAGCTGCACAAACATAATACCTTAAACAAGAGAAGTATACATACAGTATAACAAAATTAACTTTAAATTTGTATCAATAAACTAAAATCTATACCATTGTAAAACATTTCAAAGAAGTTGCTCTTTAAAAGTAAGTTCAACAATCCACCCTTTTATCCTATCATATCTATATCCTATATTTTATGTCATATTCCCCTTCTTCTTTTTGAAAAATATTGACTACGACCAATAACAATTTGTAACCTACAATCTAAACAAAGACAAATATTCATAATCTATTTTTTGGGAATGTGGGTGTAGTTTTCTAGGCTACTTCCTGCTGATAAGTGGTGCTGTATTCTTATGAGGATACTGAGAAAATCACGAATTATGGTCAAGTCCTGACTGAAATAGTCTGTGAGGCTATATTCTCTGAGCTAGTTGGCTTGAAGTTGTTCTGGATGTTGGATGGTCTGAATTCTTGCCACGCTGGCCGCCAATTGTAGATGAATTTCTAAATAGTCTTATTAAATAAAAAGCAGGGAGCCAAATATAGGGGTGAAAGCCTTAGAGAGATCAAGGAAATATGGAAAGCCACCAGCCAACCTTACCTCATCAACTCTGCAGCTTCCAAAAAGCAAGCTACTTCCTTTCTACCCACACATATATGCCTTGCTGTTCTGCCATCTGATTTGTTCTCTGTCCAGCTACAACACTTCCTTTTCTTACACAGCTCTGTCACTTTCTGTCTGTCTGTACAAACCTGTAGACCTTCATGGTTAACTAGTTTTGGAATTAAAGCATGTGTCACCATGCTTGGCTGTTTCCAGTGTGGCCTTGAACACACAGAGATCCTGCCTGCTAAGTGATAGGGTTAAGGGCATGTGCTACCACTGCCTGACTTCTTTGTTTACTTATAATGGCTGGCCTTTTCCCTCTGATCTCCAGGCAAGCTTTATTTATTAAAGCACAAATAAAATATGACCACATTTCAGCACAAATAAAATATCACCACAGTAATCATCAATATTTAACCATGTCTTCTTTACCTGCCACACCTCCCCCTTAGTCACATCTTATCCCATTTTTTTTCTTGTTATTGTTGCTTTTTGTTTCATTTCCTGCTAAAAATGTATTTTTGTTTTTCAGAAGCTTCTTTTACTAGAGAAATAATTGGAAATGCAGAACAAGTATTTAAATTTTGTAAGTGCTCTAAAATTTCAGCCTTATATACTCAAAATGAAAAAAGACACTCTAAAGTAAAAAAAAAGTAAAGCAAAACTTATACATTAATATCTTACTTCAGTTGGATAATGAACCAGGAATCTTAAAGCAGGGTGTCAGAGACTCAACCTCTGATTGACACATGCTAAACTAAACTGCTTTTAGTCCTCAGAATTCTTATATATACTTTTCAGTTCTACACAGGAACAGCCTTAACAGATGGTCCTACAAGGATTGGCATACAATTCATAAGAGGTAGTATGGTTTATGACAACTTCAAAAATGCTGAAAATATATGGAAACACTGTCACAATCATTTCAAAGAATAAAGGAACATTATAATGTGGATTTTTTAGAAACAAAAGCATATTACATTTATTTAAAAGCTTTATAAAAATAGTAATGAATCAGAGCAAAAATTCTTTCACGTATCTACCATACATATATCACAAGCCTGTTTTAGCAACAATGTGTACATAGGGAATGTTTGTAATCTTGAAACTTTAAACTTAGTTAACAAATGCACTGGAAAGATGTAAATGCTATTCTACCACATAATCCAACACATTTCCTTATTACAGCCTAAGATTTTCATTAGATAAAACAACCACACCAAAAATAGTAAGAGATATTGGTTAATTATTTCTGTTTTTGACTTTCCTGGATCCTTAATATTTCCTATAATGCCTGACACATAACTGATACCAATGAATTACATTTTGCTGACTGGCTAAATTGGGGGGCGGGGGGAGATTCTCCTAGTTTTTCTGGGTTGCTAGTAATTTATTCTTGGCAATAACTATCTATATAAATAGATTGGTAATCCTAACATGATTTAGGAATAACTCTTCCGCACTCTGTAAAAGAACAATATGCTTTGAATTATACAAGCTCTTTCAGCTGGTTAAGAGCTGAGGAAGAAACTCAGATGAAGAACAGGAAAGAGCAGGAGTTGAGTGCACACTGGTTTCCTACATATGTTGTCTGGACACACAACTATATGCAATGGACAAAGAGATCAGGTCAACTGCAGAAATAATGAATATCCCAATTAATCCCATTTTTATCTATATGTTTTTGTTTTGTTTTGGGGGCAGGATCTCACTCTATAGGTAGTTGGCCTTGAACTAACTATTAGAGGAAGGCTGGCTTTGAACTTGCACAATCCACCATCGCCAGCCATAAGAGTGCCAGGATTATGGACTAGGAGAGCAGTTACATACATAAGCAATACTTATTTATGCTAGAAACTTTAAAAAAATCCTGCTGTCATCTTGACACACTCCTGAGACATGACTTATGCCTCCCTTTGTATCCTCATTGTTTATAGAATTCTAAAAAGTTTTGGTATCAGGATCATTTTACACTTTTTAACTTTTTGAGCATCTCAAGAGTGTTAGTTCCACATTTTTGTTAATGTGGACTATAGACTACATTTTGAAAATTAACACTAAAATATTAATTATTTCAAGATTACACCAATCTTGCTGACAACATGAATAACATATACTTTTGAACTTTTTTTTTAAGTTTTGAGATTGTAATATAATTACAGCACTTCTCCCTTCTTCTCCTCCCTTTAACCCATCCATGCACCCTTCCCACTCTCCTTCAAATTCATGGCCCTTTTCCACTAACTGGAATAACATACTCTTTATAAAACTTCAGTATCTTTTCCAAACAAACAAGGAACAGCTTGTGACAACATTGTTTTGTACATCTGTAAATCTGTTTGGTGGCTGGTTTGATGGAAAGCAGTTCAATTTTCATTTGCTTCTGCATTTTTATCAACTATGACATATTATTTTAATGAGGATGTAAAGAAAACCCAGCTTCACACAGGTGAGGACTTCAAGAAGTGAGGAACATATGGAGCCCCAAGGAAGGGCCTTGAGAGCCCCAGGTGTTCTCTTCCTACATTCTGCAGAGATCTAACAAAGAACACCATCTGCTAAATCAACCACAACTTATAAGAAAAGAAATCCTCAATACACACACACACACACACACACACACACACACACACACACACACACACACATACGTCACACATTCATTTAAAATTGAAGTAATAATACTATATAAATATCCATTGTTTTGTTATAATGAAATTTTTTTACTTTAAATTCATCATAATTAAATTAGAATATAAATTCACATTTGAAACCAAGATTAAAATTAAGCACATAATTCCAAAGTCTGATATAAATAAACAGATGACTAGAAAGAGGTATTTTATCAGAGGGGGGAAAAAGAGCACAACCTGACAGAGGGGCTAATTTGAATGTGATCTGGGTGTCCTTTAAGCAATAAATTAGATTGAAATGCTTTACTGAACACAAGCTTACATGCTATTTCTATCAAACTGTGAAAAGTACAAAGAAAATTGCATATATTTTTGACATTTCTGCCTTAGATATTAAAAGGAATTAACCAAATACCAGAGAAAATATATTTTCTGAATCACTTTCTGTGATCTCACAGCATACCGTTTGAGCTCTAATGTTTTGGGCTGTCCTTTCCAAGGATGCAGTCCGCGTCAGGCAGGACACTCACCTTTCCTTCTCCTGCAGCTGCGGCTCCGGTGGAGTCATTTTAGGTTCTGTCCCAAGATTTTTCAGCATTTGATGTCTCCTCTTCCTACTTGGCGCAATATCAGTGACATCGGGACTTGAAAATAAGGAATCATCTTTACAATGAGTGGCTAAAAGAAAATAAAATGCAATGCAGTCAGATTATGCATGTAATTCATATTAAATATTAAATTGCTTCCTCAACAATGATGTAAGTAGCACAGTGAAAATCTAGCAAAACTACTTCCTCAAACCTTTATGCACACTTGCCAGTGTGAAGCAGGCAGATGGTGTGCAGTGGTTCACTACCAATGTGAGAATTGTCAACAGTGTCTACTGAATAATCTGGTTAACAGTCTCTGTCCACCTGAGACAAACAGGACTTCAACAGAGCATAAGAAATGTACTAGAGGGATGGCATGAAGCAACTTAGAACAGTGATAATGTGAGGGTGGGAATTTGTTAGTTACAGAAAATTACAGGCTTGAGAATCAAAGGACCTCAGTGAAAGAGGAATTTAAAGAGGCTAACGTCTGAAAACCTCAAGGTGACCTGTACTTGTGAGGCACAGGCAACAGTGGAAACACACTTGGTTTACATTACTGTATTTTCTATTAATTTCCTTCCAAACAGCTTAAGGGCACTAACAATACCTGCTTGTAAACCAATATACAAATTGTTCTACCAAGTTCCATGTTTTTATAAAAAAAAGGGGGTGTTTGTGGGCTTACAACAATGATATCAAAAAGATTTGAGCTTTTATTGTGTCCTCTTGGTATATACACATGTCCTCGGGTCTCATTTAATCTTATCAGAAAAAAAAGTTGTGTTTCACAATTAAAGCGGAAGCTTAGACACTGTACAGACACTGAACTGAGAGGATGTAGACAGCTTGAAGCACCGGGAAGGCCCAGTCCTTTACCATAAACAGCAGCAGATTCAGGGGTCAATAGAAGGTTTTCAAAAGGTAACTTTCTCCTAAGGTGAACACGGTGCTGAGGAAGGTGTAAAAACATCTCACCTGAATCCTTAATTGAATTTTTAAATGTTTATTTATTTTTGAGACAGGGTCTCACTATGTAGCCATAGCTAGTCTTGAACTTGCTATGTAGAACCAGTCTGGCCTCAGATGCACAGAGCTCTGTCTGCCTCTGCCTTCCCAGTCCTAGGATTGAAGTTACTCACCACTATACTTGGCTCGATATTCAATTTGAATAAAGTATGGGAAACCAATGCATTCAAAGCCTATAACTTCCGGTTTAAAGGAGGTGTGATGCAAGACAGCTGATTATGATGATGGGCTCACGTGTTGCTTGAGATCTGATGGAGCCAGGACTTTTACTAGTGTTGTAAATACAGATCAACAAAAACAGTGACAGAATTGTACAGAGTCTGAACTTATGTCCAGATCTTAGTTGACTTCCCAAGCAAACACTACTAATTTTAGTGTTAATTTTTTTAAATGAATAGTTCTGATATATATGGTGGTGTTTGTTATCTTCTCATACTTCCAAGTTATTGGGAACCACCATAAACCACAAAGAGCTGTGCATAACCAATATTTCTGGACAGTTAAGTGAAACACTATGATTCATTTCTGTGGATGATTAGAACAGAATCTTTCTATAAAAGTGGCGTGAGGAAAAAGGCCAGCTATATAATCTAACTACCATTTAAGGGATCGATCTACATCATATAGATATTCTGTTTGTAAACACAACTGGAGAAATAGTTATTGCACGAATCCTAAATGGTCTTACAATAAAAACCCAGAGCCAGATATCAGGGTGAAAGCTGAAAGAGTACAGGAAACAAGCCACAGCCACTTCTCACCTCACCAACTCCTTAGCTGAAATGAGAAGATCCAGTCTCCAGGAATCCTCAGACTGAAGGCCTCTGAGTCCTCAGCCAAAAGGGCCTCTCCTCACATCTTATATGCCTTTCTCCGCCCAGCCATATCAACTTCCTGTCTCAACCTTCCTACCTCCTACTGCTGATAAGATCTCAAGTGCTGGGATTAAAGGTGTGTATCATTACTGCCTGGTTCTGTTTCTTTAGACTGGACTAATCTCATGTAGTTGAGGGTGGCCTTGAACTCACAGAGATCCAGACAGATCTCTGCCTCCTGAGTGCTAGGATTAAAGCCATGTGCCACCACTACCTGACTTCTTTGGCTAATTCTGTGGTTAGTTCTGTCCTCTGATCTTCAGGCAAGCTTTATTAGAGTACAAGAAATTATCACCACAGTATTCTCTGCTTCTTTCTCTGAAGTGTTTCAGGAACATGTAATGTCAACTCTTCTGTGATGCATTCTCTTCAGGTATTGATTAAAAGGAGATTTTCAACATCTACCACCCCTGTAACAAATGGCAAAATACCATGTTACAGTCTTCCCACTTCACCTGGTAATTCCAGAAGACAGAAAAGACACACTGGTCCTAAATCTTACATTACTGATTTCCAGAATTTTCACATGAATGCATCCTGGTGCCTGCTAGTTGTTTGGTTTTCTCAGTCCCTCAGATTTGGCTGGTGCATACTATATTTCTAAGCTGTTTTAAGTAAAACAGGGAACTGAATCATACTGAGAAGAAGTAAACAAAAAATTAGAACTTCCAAAATGCCTATACTATGCTGAATCTTTTAATACTAATAAGTAGTAATATATTGGGATGGATTCTGCATCTAGTGATTCAGACAACCAAAGATCAAATGCATTTTCAATATTTGTCTTGGTACCACACATGTGTACATATATCCTTTCTCAATTCTTTCTGAAAAATGTAGCATGATAATTACTAAGCAGTGCCTAAATGTTATTGGGCATAATAAATACACACTGGTGAATGTGTAGCTCAACTGCACAGTCAGCCACATTATGAAGGTGACTTAAATATCTAAGGACTTTAGTAGCTCTCATGAACATTTGAATGTGATTATATTTTTGTTATTTTTCTGTTGTTTTCTTGATTCCCAGTCTCTCTTTTTAAATTATTTATTTAAAAAATTATATAACATATCTTGATTATATTTTTTCTTTTCCAAAATTTCTCTCCTCCAAGATCCATTCTTCTACCTACCCAATTTCATGTTCTTTCTCTCTCTTAAAAAACAGTATATATAAATATGTATGTATATACTAAAACCAAAACAACCCCCCCCAAGAAAACAAAGAACAATAAAACAAGACATAAAAACCATGGTGTCTGATTATGGTGGTCACTGGAGTGTAGTTTATACAATCAGTGATACTCCACCATAGAAAACTGATTTTCTCTCTCTTAGCAGGGTCAACTGCAAACAGTTTCTTGGCTAAGGGTAGGACTTTGTGCCCACATGCCCTTTTCCTTGCTGAGGTTTTGTTTGCCTTGAACTTGTGCAGGTCATGTACATACTGTCATGGTGTCCGTAAATTCATATGTGCACCAGCCCTTTGTGTCTGGAAAATGCTGTTTCCTTGAAGCCACCCACCACCTCTGGCTCTTACAACCTTCTGCCTCCCCTTCTGCACAGATATTTTTAAGTGGAACAACTCAAGTCTTCACTTTCAATTTATGCACCTCATTTTAAAGAAAACATTAAGTATGTTATAAATTACACATTCTATTCAATTTTTAGAATTGTTTTATGTATGAATGTTTTGCCTACATGTTTGTATATGTACCATGCCCATGCCTGGTGCCTGGAGAAGTCAGAAGAGAACATCAGATATGGTGTGGTGCTAGAAACAGAACCTGGGTCATTGTGGTAGTATGAACGTAACTGGCCCCCATAAGCTCATGGGGAGTGGCACTATTAGGAGGTGTGATTTTGTTGGAGTATGTATGGTCTTGTTGGAGGAAGTGTGTCATTGTGGGGTCAGGCTTTGAGGATCCTGTAGCTGAAGTTTTCTCCAGTCCTGCCCAGCCCCACAGACCCCACAACTACTTATAAAATAATCACGCAGAAGCTTATATTAATTAAACTGCTCAGCCATTAGCTCAGGCCTACTACTGACTAGTTCTTACACTTAAACTCACCCCATTTCTACTAATCTATATGTTGCCACGTGTTCCATGGCTTTATCTGTTGCCTTTACATGCTGCTCCTTGGGTGGGAGGCTGGTGTCTCCTCACCTCTGCCTTCCTGTTTCCCCAATTCTCCTCTCTGCTAGTCCTGCCTATACTTCCTGCCTGGCTACTGGCCAATCAGTGTTTTATTTATCAATCAATCATCCACAGCAGGATCCTAAGCTGAGGATACTGCCCTGTGTGGCAGCTGACTTTCTGTTCCCTTCAAGCCAAGACGCAGCCAGCATGCCACCATGCTCCCCATCATGATGATGATGGACTGAACCTCTGAAACTGTAAGCTATCCCCAATTAAAGATTTTCTTTTATAAGAGTTACTATGGTCATGGTGTCTCTTAAACCTTTAAGTTTAAAACCCTTAACTAAGACAGTCATCTTCAAAAGCAACAATTGCTTTTAACTGCTAAGCTATCGCTTCATTCTTGATATTTATTTTAGACACAAGGGAAACTTGAACAGAGTTGGAAAAGAAAGGATACTATTCAAAAACGAGGAAGTACATGGCCTGAATGGAATCATGCTCATAATAAACTATAACAACCAGATAAGAAATGAGTATTACCAAATGTATTGATTGGTCTCTACAAACAGATGGTAAGTACCTATTGCTGAAGACAATACCCACACAACTCATTGAACATGGAGAAGTTGATCTGGTGCCTAACTAGGGCCTTCATTCACTAATGACTAGTGTTCATAGTACTGGAAGTTACTCTGCATGCTACCAAAGGAGAAAGGTAAACACCATTGATCTATAATGATGACCTATCTTCATGAAATGCTGGTGCAATGGTGGCAAACACCATGTGAGACTAACAAACAATATCTGATCAAATTTAAAGCCCTCTCCACGAGATGGACCTCATCCCATATACTGCTCAGTTGGCAAGAACAGATATGCCAGGGACCTAGAGGAAAACCAAATTCTAATGTCCTGCTAAAGGAACATAACCCTAAAATGATCCTAATGACACTGTGCTATACTCATAGATCTGTTCCCTGCTCAGTCATCATCACAGATGCTTTCTCCTTCAGTAAATGGGAAACAAATACAGAGATCCA